TTATCTTGTTATCATCAAATAGGGGGAGATTGTTGATCCTCTCTCTCAGTGATTTGATGATAATCCCTTTTCCCTTTCACATTGTATTTGTGTTTCTGTATTTTCAGTTGCAGCGATCATCACTGAGTATGTTCAGTGATCACTAAAGAAGCACAGCTGCTCCTACTTATGGATGCAAATGCCATGTGGTTATCCCAGATGATGCTGCAATCGAGAAGGTAACACTGATTTCAGCTTCTGAACTAGAAACTTGTTATATGTTACTACAGGTAAATTGATCAAATTGGAGGTGCTATAATTTTTCTCTGTTGTTTTACTTGTGTGTTGTCTTTTCTTATTCTTTTTCAATTTTTAGCATTGTCTTTCTTATATTCAAGTTATATCATTGATTTTCATGCATTTTGCACGAGCCAAGGGTCTTCAAGAAAACAATAACTCTACTCATTGGGTAGAGGTCAGGTCTGCCTACATTCCACCCTCCCATGACCTCTCCTTCTGGTAGGACATGTTGAGTTTGTTTTGTTTGGTTTGGTTAAAAGAAAGTCAAATTGCTTTCCTTTTTACGATATGTGTGCACAAAATACATTTGGACTTGATCGTATTTTGGTTAGGATAACCCAAATCAGTTCTATTACCCTAAATGGTAATTTGAGTTCTCTAAGTTCTTTCACATGTAATCCTTTTGAATTCTCAACTTTGCAACTATTTGCTACTTGCTAAGAACGTGCAAGCATTGTTGCAAGTATTTGCTACTTTGCAAGATTTTTCTTTTAACTTCTTCAACAGTTAAGTAATATTTACATCATTATGATGTTTTGTTGTTGCTTTTCATATATTTAAGAATTTAATAGAAAATGAATCGAAGCTTCACTTTTTTTATAAATTTCTCTCTAACCTAACTTGGCAATCAAACGATCGACGGTAAGATGTGCCATTCATCAGCTTTTAAAATTGAAGCTCTACTAGCCATAGATATCGTAGATCAAAAGATGGCAGATGAATCTCAACACACACAAAGACTCGTATGTTTACCTGTTACACTTTTGAGCAAAATGCCTATTTATTCCAAGTGTTTGATATTCTTGGTCACTGTATATTGCCTATACCCGATCTCATCTTGACCTGGCATACAGGACAATCCAGTAGTACTGATTGGGAATAGTCCCAGAACAGATGTATTCTAAAAGCAGAGAAGATAGTACTGGATGCAGGTGGCTGTGTGGTTAGGTTGGCAGGACTTTACATATTCTTTTACACCATTTGAACTTTGGTACATTCATGTACATCCAAAATGCATCTGTGAACCTCTATTACTCGATCCTTGACTCTTTTAGCACAAAGCAGATAGAGGAATGCACCTCTATTACTTGAAAGTTGGAACTATTGAAGCTAATCCGCATCACATCGTCAATCTCATCCATTATAAGGTGCTCTCACCTTTGTACCTAAATTAATGCAAATTTATGTGGTGTCTCGATTGTTCGGAGGTGAGTAATACTCAAGTATTGCAATACCAGTTCTTCTAACCTATAGGTGCTCTTGTTTTTCATTATTGTAAAAAACATGCTTTATATTTCATCTATATGATATTTATGTACTTTAGAGTTCGAGACTCACCAGGTCAATGAGACACTAATGTGACGATTGATCTGTTATTTAGTGTAGTTTACATTTTAAGAACTTCTATCATCTTATGGTTTGTACGGTGTTTTAAGAAGTTGGCTTATTATCTCACCAATAATGTTTTCTTGCAGTTTCACCGTGGTTATTATTGACAAAACCATTATATGACCTTTAACTTTATTTTTCCATTCGATTTTACTAATACATCATATTAATCTTAAACTTTATATATTAATTGACTTGCAAAATAACCACACAAACTCATGATTCAAGGCTAAACTAATGTTTCATAATTGTGATTCACTCGTACTGCATCGCACAGGTGCACCACTAGTATATATATATATATATATATATAGAGTGATCAAATGAAAACCACTCTAATTTGTAAAAACCGTAAAAACTACTCTCATCCGTCGTAATCTTATGAAATTTTTTCATGAAATTGTTTAATATTGTGAAATTGTTTCATATACTACTTAATGAAATTTTAATAAAACTGTTTTCATGTATTTCTTTAAAATTAAAATAATGAAAATGATAATATCCATGATTAACATCCTCCACAATAAAAATGATTAATCAACCTCTTATAATTACAAAAATATAAACAAAATGAAAAATTATGATTGATGGAATGAGGTTTTTACGGTTTTTACAAATTGAGTGGTTTTCATTTGATCGTTCCCTTATATATATATATATATATATATATATATATATATATATAATACACATATATAAAACCTTATCAAATTTCCATCTTAACGGTAAAACGACCACCATATCTATACTATATTATAAAGCATTTGACAAAAACTCTTAAAAACCATTTTTTATGCGTAAAGTACTGTTTATTAATGCATGTCACTTAAAACTCAAGATTACAAGTAGATTGTACGTATGTACAACTTATTAAAGCTTCATATCTGAATTCGTGTAACTAACTGCAGATAAACATAATCATGCAGATAAACATAATCAAATACAGGATAAACATCTCATTTTAAATATAAAAAATCTAAAATTTAATTAAGATAATCATTGAGTTCTAACAGAAATACTTAATTATTATCTTTACAAAATTTTATATTATTAAACCAAAAATAAATTATTTCRTTATTAAACTTAAATTAAATTATAATAAAAAAATAAATTAAAGAAATTACATAAAAAAATAGAGTTTTTAAATAGTTGATTTGATATTAACATTGATATATTTTTTTCAAATTTATATTTCATTCAAAAATAAAATCATTATTGTTTTATTAAAAACACATAAAATCGTATTATAACATCGACAAACAAATAATAAAATAGAACATTAAAATCGAGATGTGTCTCGCTGCATTGCACGAGTACTCTTCTACTATAAACAAAAAACGAAAGCCTTTAAGAATCGCAAGTGTTACAAAAGTTACTAATTGCATGGTTTGATTTGATTTGTTCTTTCCGATACCACATCGAACGGTCTATAATTATGTATTTTTATTTTATTGAATCAAATAAGGTTAATAATCTCAATATTTTGTAATAACTTGGTATGAGAAATTATATTCCAAGTAACTGTTGGAGTTAGCAAATAACCATAGGGACATGTATCAACGTGTGTTTCGATGAGTCAAACTCATAACACAAAGCTCTATTAAGTCTTTCGAGTCAAGCTGAATCGTACCACATAGACATGCACATTTTTGAACGTAACATGTCTATACGTTCATAAATCATCAATGAGTTAATCTATTTCAAGTTCAAACCCATAAGCAAGCTTATAAATATTGAATTTTGGGTAATAATACGTAACTCAAAATTATTAAACAGGATCGAGTTCGAGCTTGAATATAAGAAAACTATTTGAGGCCAAACTTTTAACCCTTGCTCAAAATATCCTTCAACGAATAACTTTGAGATAATATGTTTCAATTTGTGTTTTTCAACTTGAATTGAAACATACGTTCTAAAAACCAAAAAGAAATCTAAAATGCATCATTCTCTTCATTTCAGACTAATCACGTATCCTAATTTGAAAGAAAACCCCCCTGCACTTTTGGCAACAGATGTTCCAAAAGCAGCTGGAACTAAAGAAACATGTTCATAATCATAATAAACAAACCTATTAACAGGAAACCCAACCCAGATGATAACGACAACGATGCATAAGAAAAGAGCTCGAGATTCTTCACCAATGCACGATCTGCACATTTCCAAATCCATATGTACTTCCCCAGAAGACGATAGATGAATCATATTTACAGATTCAAGTTGATTCTGTTTAAGGATTCAAGATCTCACCATCCTTCGAGATATCAAACAATAACCTTTGCAGGGATGCAATTCCCGGAAGCTCATGCAGCAACTCACTAAATGAGTCCTTTCCTGACATAATATCAGAAGCATTACCATACTCCTCTTCCCAACCTTGTTTCAACCCAATTTCAGTCGTTGGATGGCAGTCAGGGGTAAAAGAATCATTTCCATCATGTACATGATTCTGGACAGAGCTGGAGTCCTGAAGAAGGGAAGATAGCGAGTCGACTCTTGACAGCAGACTTTTCTCATCTGAAGCTGTTGTTAACTGGGTATCGCTCAGCAGAATCTGGGAAATATTCTCGAGCGCATCTTTTTGATTGCCACCAGCTGACACGTTCTCGAGTAAGGGTAAAATCCCAGCAGATTTTGGCTCGGAAATACAGTGTCCAATGTGGTTTACAAGATCGGATATTGACATAGTCTGTTGGAGCCTGGGCGTCTTTATTTGCGCCGAAAAAGTCTTTGGCCCCTGTAGGGCACAACTTCCCCCAAATCCATTCTCTTCAAAGCCATGAATAGACACTGCTGATAAATAAACATGACGTCATCAGTTCCCGGTAGAACTCATAATAAATAACGTAATTTAAAAACAAACAAACCAAGTATATCCCACCTAAGTAGGTCTAGGGGTAAAATGTAGGCACGCCTTTTCTTTGTCTCAAAAGGAAGAGAGATTATATCTTAGAAGACCCCCAGCTTGCAAAAGATTTAGAAACATGGCTATCAGGCCGACCTTGGCCACGTGCAGCTCGTGCGACCGCACAGGGCATCAAAGCTTAAAGGGGCATCAAGTTGTCATCATCTATTACTAGTTTTGGGTTTAATAATCTAGGAATTGGACAACCGAACTTTAACTATAAAAACATGCCCAAGGTCTAGTAGTGATGAATACTTAATGCACATCGTGAAGCGGTTAACGCTATCATTCCAACAACTCAATCTAATTTCTATTGTTCTTCAAAGTTCGACTATTTCAATTTTTACGGCATGGAGTTCTCTTTCCAGCCGATTAACGGTCATGAAATTAGATTCAAGAAATCAAAGATGGATATCTCAAATGACTGATTTCTACTGTTGATTGAACTTACCGAGTTGTTGTGTGAGTCATATTATGATTTATGAATCTTTAGATCTTTCTGCAAAAAAAATCTAAATTTCTAACTGATTATTATAAAGATGGGTCATATGGTCCTGTGGGTTACCGACCTACTAGGCTAAGGCTAAGGGGCTTTTGTCATTTTGATGATGAGTCTTCCTTTTGCATATTGAAATATCTGAGAATTGAAATTTTCAATGCACATGAGCACATCACTGTATCAACATAGCTGGAGCACACTGTACAACATTAACAACATATTGTGATACTGTCTTAATTATTGGGCACTTGTTCTTTGCAATAAACAGTAACATAGATTATGAATTTTACAATTTATTATTGTTCTTTTGACTTTTGTTTACTTTGAGGTTTGACATTACCACATTAGATTTAAGGGGCGTTTGATTGGTTTTTTTATTAAGTTCTATATGGATAAAGTTGTCTGTATAATTAATCTGTTTGTATAAGTTGGAAAAGATTTTGTTTGAGAGAGTTTTTTCGTAAATGTAAGAAGCGTTTTTTTAGTTGGAAGGAACATGTTTGGAAAAAAACTTGACTTTCTATCAGTGGCGAATACATGGTAAAGTCATAGGGGGCACAGGCCCCCAAACAAACCAATAAGAAACCCATAAGAAAGAACATTATTTATTGTTTTAAATATATTTTTAACCTACAATTACAAATAGGCCCTCAATAATTAAAAGGCAAATCCCCACATCTAATCCCTACCATTTCATTTACATCTTTTATTTTATTTCATTTTAGGGGGTTACCAATTTAAAATCAGTTAAACTCTAATGTCTCTAATTTCTAAGTTAACTCATTGAAAGTCATTTTATTTGTCTTGTTTTATTTGCTATAATTCTAATAATTTGATCCATCACTATTTTTTTTGTTTTTTTTTTCCAACTTTCTTTTTGCATTTTAATTTTTATAGATTTATAATTATTGTGATTTGTTGATTATTAATTTTCTATTTCTTGATATTTGATTTAGGATTCTTGAGTTTGTTCTTTAATTTGAGTTTGTTATTTTGATATAGGGTTTACTACTAGTTTATCTTTTATTTATAGCATATTGGTCTTTTGCTCTCTAAATTTCTTCTAAATTTAATGTAATTTCTTGTCCTTTGATTTCTTGCTATGGACTATTAATTAATATGTACTGTGTTCATTTGTTTTAAGTTGAACCGAAATAAAAATATATGTACAATGTCTCTGTTTATCCAAAATAGTAAAAATTAATCAAAAAACAGAAAAAGTTATATTTATTTGATTAAACTAAACAGTTTAAGCCGACAACCGAATAACCCAAAATCGTCTTGGTTCGGATGAGTTATTCAATTTCAGAATTTTTTTGTCACCCCAAGTCCCCAACTCCCTAAGTTTTCCCCCAATAATAAAATTTTCTGGATCCACCACTGCTTTCTATATAAAGCTCTCCCTAAAAGCTTACTAAATAAGTCATTTTCTATATCATTAAGCCACTACGAAACAATCATGCATAGTTGAGCAAATAAGTTGTTAGTTCCATTAAGCTGTTAATAGATAGGCCCTTAGCCTTTAGTCGTTACACCTATAACTTTTGAGTTTTACTTTTTGTTTACTATGACAGTAATTTAGATGTAATTTACTATTTTAGTTAAAAACTAATGATAGTTTTGTCGGTTAAGTCCCATATATTGAAATAAAGTTTCTATTTTGCTAATTTCAATTTGGAAAAAGGAAAACTAGAAGGAAAAAAAAAGGAAACACGATCTTAATCCAGGATTTATTCTTTTATCGTTCTATATTTTGTATTTAGGGTTTTGGTTTTTATGTCCCCCACACCCCTTGTATTTATTTAATTATAATTAATAAAAATCAACATGGGAGTGAGACACTTAGCTTGAATAGGTTCTAAACTCTTTAAAAAACCGCATGTTTCGTTGTTTCATTGGCTTAAAAAAAATAGACTTAGGGGCATCTTTTATTATTTTCGCACAGGGCATCAAAAATCTTAGGACCGGCCCTAATGGCTATAAGCCACCTTCTTGCACTTGTTTGCAACAGAAATAGAAAAGATTGCAAAGAGCCTACCTAGCTAAAGTAACACTCCGGACGCTCCAACAAAACTTTATATATCTGCCAATTGTACCGCGTCTCTATATGGAGACACAAGGGCGGACCTAGATAGAAAAAAAAAATAAGCTTCTGAAGGCTGCAACTGTATCATTTCGTTGGGCGCCTTATATTTTCTGAGACTAAACTAATGGCACAAGCTTGTAACAGCAGAGATGGTTATCGCTGCTGCTCTTGTACCAAAGGCCCAGGTTCAGGTCCTGCTTTTGTCAAATTTCTTATTTTTCAGCATAAACTTTGGGGTTTTTTATATGCTTTTGTGTTATAAAAAAATTTAACCTGGGTTCTTTTTTCTGCAAGGGCAGAGGAATCAGCCAACAGATCTATAAAAATCTGATGAAAATTTTCCGTAGATATTTTTCTTATAGTCAAATCAAGTCACCACTTTGAGTCCGCCTCTGTGGAGGCATTTTGTAAGCGGTGAAATAAGTAGCATTTTCTACCCTTTTACAGGATAGAAAATTTTGTTCCTAATCATGTCATCTGTTTCGGTATAAATGGTACCTGAATTGGGAGAGGGAGTATCTTCCGCAAAGTCTCCATGGGGCAAAACTAGAGTGCCCAGTTCCTTGGTCTTCAAGTACCAATGCTGTGAAGCAGATGGCATAACCATGCCCTTGATGCCAGATACGGAGGATCCTTCTGACATTTCTGGTCGGTTGACAACATTGTTGCCTGGATCCTTAATGGAAGCAAATGGCAAGTCCAAAACTGTGTCTAGCTGTTGGCTAAGAAAGTTAAGCCGCGTATCACATTGGATCAACTTTTCATAATGCTTATTTAGCACACCTTGTGCACACTGTAGATAATGTTGCCTGCAGAACCACCAAATCAAAACTATTGGTCATTTCTATGTTGTTAAATATTGGTCATTTAAAAGAGAATGAACAATGTAATACGAAAGACGTTTAACAACTCATTAATAAAAATTCCTGCAAATTTGAAAGTTAAGAGTAGTGGTTTTTTGGGGGGTATTTGGTTAGAGGTATTAAACAGTGATCAATAGGAATGCAAAAGAAATTGTTTAGTTTTATATAATATAATGGACTCATTCCCCCATAAGCCCAAATTTTCATTCCCGGTTAAGGTGGGGGGAATGAAAATTCATTCCTCGTCATTTTCATTCCCCAGCTTTAACCAAACAATCCCTTAGTATTTACGCTATATAGGATGTGTCTCATCTGAGAACGGGATAGGACAGTACAAAAACTTGTTATCACACGTTTAGCATGGCATTAGACAAGGACGGGACCTGAGTGTGACAAAAAAGAACTTTTCTTGTACTACCAAAATAGGTGAAAGAAAAATCTAGGAGACTGGTACAAGATTGGTAGATTTATAAACTACTCATGTCAAATTAAAACCCTACAACTTCCATAATTCTTTCACCCGCCTACCTCAATCTCGCTTGTCCACTCAAAGAACCATGTGGACAATTTCCATCAAGAACTCTAAACATTAAAGTATAGAGTATAACAAGCTAAAAGAGAATACCTATATCTGGTTGCTTCTCCATTGGTAAAATCTGAGGTTGCCTGCCAAAGGGTGTGTTTTCTAGGCTGTGGATCGGTCTCTCTGAAGAAAAGTGGTTTTTTACCAAGCTGACAACAAATAGTACCAGTTGAATATTGAATTGATGAACAGATAATGGCATTTTACATACAATAATGGAAAGAGGCAAATACCACGATAGTCAAAGTGCCAGGCCCATTATCTGGACAATTTGCCTTTAGAGCCACGATATCTGCCCATTGAATTTCTATCTTATTCTTTAGCCCGCCATCTAGAACTTCCCATACAAGCTTATGCTTTGCAAAGTAACATTTCGCTACTAAATCCCCTTCGTGTTGTGATGCATACTGCAAACAACAACTTTCAGCTACAATTTGGAAAGGTTTTACACATAGCCACTATGCAAGTGCAAGATATTCAACCAAACCAAACCAAACCAAGCGAGCCCAATATATTCCACCCGGAGGTGGGATCTGGGGTTGGGTAACTAGTAAAAAATTGAAAGATGTAAGATAATGTTATAAATACCTCCCATTGCCCGATCCTTATAAGTAGAGCTGGGAAATTAGAGGCTTTCAATTTATCAATCGGACCAGAAGTCCCAGCTCTTGCCTTAACATCCTTCTTATTTCCCACTTGAAGATTTTCACTCGGCAAAGTGCCCTTGTTCTTATTGCATTGGGACAGCCTCGTTTGAATTAGCTCCAACAATGATGGACTCTTCTTTAGCCTCAAACCCAAAGGACTTGGCTCGTTAAGCGGGTTAAAATGATAAGGTGGGAAAGGAAACTCATTGCTATCAAGGTTCCACTGCACATTATTAATCAACATATAATACATAAGATTACAAGAAACAAATTCAGAATAAATAAATCATACTCTCATTTTTCACCATAATTTACATCGGGGACCACATGTGCTGACAATTAAAACCTCTTATAATTTTGTTTTATGAAAATATTAGCGTTTCAATATAAGATAGAGGTATTAGAACCAAATAAAACCAAACTGACTTGGTATATCTCACTTGAAAGTAGGATCTGGAGATGAGATCTATGCAGACTTATCCTGTACCCCAAAGAACTGAAGTATTAAGGTTTTTACTAATTGCAAACTACTATATGATAACATAATTACGAACAATTAGCAGAATTGTTTTCCTAAATAGAAACATTCAGAAGGTAAGACCTTCTGCCTAATACTCAACTAAAGTAAGTTCAATATAAAATTCTCAACTTGCTTCAACTTTATGGTAGAAATTATTCCATTTGTATCGTTGAAAAAACTTACTGGGATCACACCAAATTCCGGAACCAAATATCAAACCCATGATTTGTTAGTTTAGCCTTTGGTAAATTGGAACTTCAAATCAACTCCTTACATTTTCTTTTTTATGGCATCAATTTTCTCAAGAAACAAAAATACAAACAATCCCAATTTGTTAAATAAAAGTTAAGAATTAACCTTTTTTAAATGCATCTAAAGCTATTGATAATCCAGAAATAAAAGGATGAATAAGTCAAAAGAAGAACAATTTAGTTTGAGAAATGACAACTTCCATAAAAAATTAAATAGTCCTCACATGGAAGGATGACAATGATAACATGATCAAATGCGGTAACTCCGGGCTATCTGCAAAGCAGGTAGTCACCTTGGGATTAGTCGGCTCGCATAACGGGTTGGATATCCGGGTTAATAAAAAAAAAAGATGATGATGATGCAGCATATACATATGTACATACACCCACAAATGTTTGTATTCATGATGAATGTCGTCAAAAAACCACATCCATATTCATGATGTGTGGCACGCCTAACACCTTCCTTGATATATATGTGTATATATAATAGAAAGAGAGGGTCCATTTAGGAACATTAAAAACATTAGGAATCTAAAACCACCAATTTTATGTAGTATTCATGATGAATAATATGATAAATATTCATGATTTCTGGGTTCCTATGATATTTAACCATCCTAAATGATTTATGATCTACTCATATATATAATACTGTGGGCCCGTTGACCCAACTAGTCCAGAAGTCATCCACTAGGTTGGCTTTTTTCAATATCTTCATAAAAGTCTACACATTTCCGCATTCTTAACTTTCATCAAGGGAACACTAACATATTCATCATTGTTGCAAAACAAAACTTGAGGCATAGCCAGAAACCCCACATGAACAGATTAAAACTGGATATTGAAGCAAACTCATTCATATTTTCAGTTACATGGACTCCAATTCCAGATTCACTTGTAGAACTCCATACACCCAAATACCAACTTACTAAAGCCACCTGATTTCGAAGAAAAAAAAAGTCCCGAATCCGCAATTAGAACCCTAATGTTACAAAACTAGTCACTTGACCTCAAACTTCAAATTGAACTCTTCTATCACACAAACAAACCAACAAATAGTTCATATGCACCCAGACAAAGAGCCATTTTGTATGCAATCAAACAGTAAAGGATCTAGATTGTAGAAACAAAAACACAAATTAAAAACCTCGTTAGTTGTCCGGGAAGACGACGATTTCCGTCGTTTATGAAGCGGTAACTCTTCATCGATGTCTTCCAACTTCATTGGACCCTTTCCGCCGGAAAAATCAGTCGTTTCCGGCTCTGGCCATAGCCAGGTATTGCTCTTCTTATTCTCCGACCACATTCGTTGAACCATGATTTAAGTATATATATATATATAAAGTTGGAAGTAGTTCCAAAAGAATAACAAGAAACAGAAGAAATTTATGGAGAAGAAGACTCGTTCAAATGGATCGAAAAACATGCAATGAATTCATGGGCGGAAGGAATGTAGGGATTCTGGAAGGAAGAATCTGAGAAACCGAAGAAAAAGCTTAGAGAGAAAGAGATGAGGGGAATCTAAGCGTCCTTGTCATTTTATTTATATGTGAAGTTGGTTGGAGTTTGAAATGACGAAAAAGTACTTGCATTCCAGATAAATCCGGTTACAGTTTTGCCTTCGGAGCATCGTATGAATTTCAAACACATGTTTTCGTGATCACACTATTAATAAATTTGAATTTGAATCGTGAATCCAGTAAGATATATTTTGATTTTATTTTTGTATCTTTGTTTATGTTATAATACAGATTTATATGATTTTAAATAAATAATAATTTTTTTAATAAAATATAAATTTAAAAATATTATAAAAATTAAAAAAAATATATAAAACTTC